GCGAGCAGCATACACCGCCCGGCACGTGTGGCCGCTGGACCATGGCGGCAGTTCAAGACGCCTCCGATCCTCGGGGGGTACCCAATCGGAGCTCGTCAAACCGCCGAGAAACCACCCGCCCCAAGGAAAAAGCAGGCGGAAATTACCAAGGAAAAGGCCGGTTCCGCCCCAAGCCGGTAATGGGGACGCGCACCGGGTGTTGCGCGGGGAACGGGAACCCGCCCCCGCAATGACCCGTCACGACGATAGTGCGGTCGCCCGCCCGTCGGGCCGCGGTACGCGTCAACCCGACATGGAAGCGCGGAGGGAAACCCGCAGCGGTACCACCGACCAGGCGGTCGAGAAGATCTCACCCCGACGGGCGACCCCGGGGGTAGGCCACAGGCCGCACCCGTCGCGGTAACCCTCCACCGCAAGAGCACGTGGGCAACCGCGCGCTACCGCTGCCCCGCGCCGGATTAACCCGGCGCGGAGGGCCCTGGACGGCAAGGAGGCGACTCCGGTCGCCGGCTTTTAATTAAGCCCAAAAGGGGGCTACGTTTTTCCTCCTAGAAGGATGGGAAAAATTCGTAGCCCCTTCCCGTTAACGGCATTGTACTCCCCGGGTCTGCCCGCGTCCGGAGGTCCCAAGACGGAAAACCGACTTTGGGAAGGCCCAGGCGGATTTGGAAACCGGAACTGTAAAACGCTGTTTCTGCTCGTTTTTTACAGCTTCCTTTCGTTTCTAAATCGCGCCTCCGCGGAAAGTGACAACGGCAGGACTTACCGACCGGTTTTGGACGAACGGCAGAGCGTACCGCCGCTGGGAGCTCCCCACTGACCGCACGGACAGGCTGGCGGTCACACACCCCGCTGTCTCGCTGGTGAAAGGGCGCTGTTTTTGGAAAAACGGCCAGCCCTCCGGGGGGGTGGGGGAAAATCGCTTCTTTGGCGCCGGTTTGATGATGCCCGGCGCCGGGGGAAGACGCCCCACCGCAACGGCAAGCCTATCTGGACGGTTGAAGGTACAGCGGGTCCGTCCGCTGTACCTGTAAACCCGAGTTCCCGCTCGGTTCTTCAAGGGAACACTGTACGGGAAGAAGGGCTACGATTTCCCCTCTAGAAGGGCGAATAAAAATCGTAGCCCATATCCGAGAACGGTTCCAGACTCCTGAGGTCGTCGCCGACCTGGGAGTATTTGGAAACACAAAAGTGTTTATGCCGTTTCTGACTGTTTTTACAGTGTCTATTGGTTTCCAAATAGGAACCGTTCGGGAAAAAGACTACCGTGGGGTTTTTGCTCGTGTTTTGGACGACAGAGGTACCGCACGCCCGGGGAAAGGTCTGGGACGTACCGCTGCGGGGCTGGCAGGGGCGTACCCGTGGGGTTTTGGAGGAAATAGAAGGGGAATTCTTGGAAAAATGGCCAGCCCTCCGGGGGGTCCTGGAAAAAGGCTTCTTTGCGCCGGTCGCTCGAGGCCCGGCGCAGGCGGAAGCCGCCCAATCCAGACGGTTGCGTACCGCGAATGGAACTGGGAACAGCAGGAGCGCTGAACTCCTCCGCGCGGGTCGGGAAATGACCGCCGCTGCGGGTGTACATGCGGGTGAGGACCCGAGGAAGGTACCTACTGTACAGCCGCGTCTCCGCGGCAGACGCATGGTCTCCGTTCGGGATAGAGGACCGTCACAGCTGGCACGGATTTTAGTCCGCCGCGACGGGGACGTGTCGCGAAATAAGGAAGGGGGTCTGTAGTACAACGGCGCGAAGGCAATCGCACCACCGCTGCCGCCCCGGGATACAGTATGATGGGCTGTAAGCGCGAGAAGAACTGTAAGGAGTTATATTTACAGCACACAGCCGGTGCGGAGTACAGTGGTACCCCGCTGGTTACACGTGTAGAATCCGAACGGTAAGTAATTAGTAATTAGTAGTTAATGGCACAAATTAGCCAATTTAGCACAGTAGCTGGTATACAGTAAGTAACAGCTACTGTAGCGGGACAGGTGTCCTGGCGTCCCACTTAGGGGTTAAGACCGGGGGCACCTGCCCCGTTCCAGTAAACGAGAGGCAGACTCGCCTCCCTTCCCTTTACGGCTTTTTGCTAACTCCGTCCGGTTTTACCTCTAAGTCTCAGGCTTCTAACCCGTGACCGGCCGTCTGGATCTAACACCACCGACCGGCTGCGCGTCACCGGCCACGTGAGCCTTCCCTCTTTTCGAGTCCTTCCGTACGGTTTGCGCTCGCGTGGGTTACCCAGCGGCGCGCGCTCCCTTAACTCTAACCCCCCCTCGTTCCGAGTGGTCGGGACGAAGGTAGTTATACCACAATCCTGATTGGAATCCATACCCTCCGTCCTCTGACGATTTTGACGACTGTGAGTCGGACCCGTCGGATGACGAAGAAGCCTCAAGTGAGGATGCTGGTGAGCGCCGCAGACGAACGTCGCAAGGCGGGAGGCACGGCCGCCAGCTTGGGCAGAAGCACCTCGGACTGAAGGTGCTTCGACCCACAAATCGCCTCTTCGATGGCGCTCTGGACTATCCCCGTTAAAGGCTGACAAGGCGTCACAAACGCCGAAGTGGGCGAGAAACCCGTTAAGTCAAGGATCACATTAGATCAATCCAAACGGGCGCTCCCGAACTCCGTTTCAATGGGAGTGACCCCATTAAGGTTTTGGGTTTTTTATCTCGTTTCGTCGAGGAATGTGAGACCAACTCCATGAAGGAGTCCCAGGCACTGGTAGCAGTGAAGTATTTCCTGCAAGGCCAGGCAAGAACGCAGTTCGATGCGACAAAGCAGATGGACTCCTTCGATGGAGGAATTTCGTACTGGTCCGAAGCGATACAGTACCTGCTACGCACTTATGCGACCAACGACGCCATCAGCGGAGCAGTACTCGATCTTCGAGATGTGCGTCAAAAGGCGGAAGAATCAGAAACACGTTACAGCGCTCGTCTGCTGGACGCGGAGTTTCGTTGCGGTAACGTGCACGACGCCGATGAACGAATTACAATGTTCATTGACGGGCTCAATCCGGGAATCCGGTCTCTCGTATCGCGCTATCGCGAGACAGAACGTCGAATGGGACGAAGTCGTCGTGACGGAATCACGTTCCTGGATATCGTCCAGTACGCCCAGAATGAAGGCGACGCTCTTCGGGCCCTGTTCGGTGGCGGAAGAAACGCCGAACATGGCGGAAAAAGGCAGGTCGGCATTTTGAAGCCGCCGACCCGACCGGCGCTATCGCGCGCCGGACAACATCGAATGATGATGACAGAGTCTTCTGCTGACTCTCGGCCGGCGATGGCCGAAAACTACGCCGTAGGTGGCGACTCGATGCACCTTATGCAAGGAGATTGGTCGTCTGTACCGACGGCCGAGCTACCCTCGACCACCGAGACGCAAACGGACGACCCGGAGTCGATGATGCTCACAAGGGGCCCGTACGGACGCGTTTTTGCCCCGGTCATCCGAGGACAGCACCATTCACGCCATGTCCGCGCTGTCCGTCCTGGCTGGCAAGTTAACGTGCGAGGAACTCCGAACTCGGAGAGGCCACGTGGTAACTTAATTTGCCACAAGTGATACGGGCCGAACCACATCGAACCAGATTGCGTAGTTCAACTCTCGATTGCCGAGTCATCTTGTATCATACGAAACTACGACCACCTTTCTGCAGAAGAAAAGCAACGCGCGCCCGCGGACAGCTATTGGAAGTTACGAGCCCTTGACGAGATCGTCAACACCCGGGCTCGCGACCTCCAGAACGCGGAAGCTGCGAAAACTGACCCCTACCAAGGCGGTACAGTGTCCAAAGACAACCAGGGAAACTGACTTCGGGAGTCCGCGTCGAAGCGGAGGCGAGAGGGCCTCCCCCGGCTACCTTGAGCCTGACGCCTGGCGGCGAAGGTCGTCCCTCCCCAGTGAAGGTCCTGTCAAGGAAGGATCTGTTGAACCCCAAACATGGGAGCAAGCTCAGCGAGCTACGCCGACCATGGCGAAAATACGTGCCCCCACGTTTACAAGGCACCATTATGGTGATAGCGAAGCGCAATTACAAGTGCTATGCCGACTACGGGCTAGTCCCGGAACGTTTGCCAAGGAAGCTCACAGTGCTAGACACTGGGGCTGGGCCAAACTTTATTCGAAAAGATGAACTACTTCCGCAGTATATGGAGAAAATGAAACCAGGATCAACCCTGAACATTCGGAACGCAAACCGCAAACCAATTTTAATAACTGGTACAATTGATCGGGTTGTCAGAATTGGTTCGCGAATTACTCGCGTAACATTCCTCGCATGCGAGCGCCTGGCGGCTGGAGAGGTCCTGGGATGTGACTTCATGGACCGTTTCGTGGAAGCCGTCTACCCACGCCGCAAGACGATCGAGCTCGACGACGGGTCCTCGGTCCCTACTACGAGAAGGCCACTCAGGCGACCGCCGAACGCACCGCCATTGCCGGCGTCCCAAGAATTCGCCAAGGCAGGCGGTCGGACATCACCTCGAGTCAGCGTCACCAAGCCAGTCGTGCTTGAGCCTGGAACGCAAACATTCGTCTCTGTGACGTCAAAACGGCACGGCCTCATTGTCCTACAGCCGCATGAGAAACTCTACAAAAAGAGTCAAGTCGTCGCCTCCAATGGCGTTGTGCAAGTCGAGCCAAATCGCGAGTTCCGCGTGCTCGTTGCCAATTTTGGCATCGCGCCTTATCGGCTCGTTAAGGGCCAACGGTCGGCACTTTGCTGCCACATCCAACCGCTGTTATAGCGAGTAAAGTCAGCGTGGCTGCAATGCTAGGCCTCACCGATGAGGAAGCGAACGAAGTCCAACAAGACTTCGACAAGGACGCCAACCGGGCGGTAGAAAACACCTCTATGGCGAGCAATCGGGATGACGTGGATCTCTAACACGTCCCGGCCCGCCATCGTGATCAGATCAAGTCTATGCTACTCAAGTACAGCTCCATGTGGAGTGGGGAGCTGGGCGAGATCAAGTTCATGAAGCATCCCATCGACACGATGACTGGAACGCGACCGATCGCGCAAAACCCCTACCGAGCAGGACCACACGCCCGGGAGGCGGAGATGAAAAAAGTAGACCGTATGCTCCCAGCCGGAGTAATCGAGCCGTCGAAAACAGCATGGGCCTCACCGGTTGTACTGGTGCCTAATAAGGACGGGCAGCTGCGCTTTTGCGTGGACTACCGGCTGCTAAATGCCGTCACGATACGGGATTAATACCCGTTGCCTCGAATGGACAAGTATATTGACTCCCTAGGAGAAGCAACCGTCTTTTCGACGCTCGACTGCAATAGCGGGTATTGGCAAATACCCGTTGCAGAAGAAGATCGCGAGAAAACCGCGTTTGTGTGTCATGGTGGACTGTACCAGTATTTCCGTATGCCCTTTGGGCTAACAAACGCTCAAATGGAGATCCTGTCTCGTCTACCTTGACGACGTAATTCTGTTCTCGAAGGATATCGAGAGTCATATACGTCACGTTGACGAAGTTCTCGACGCCTTGCAGTCGGCAGGAGTGTCCCTCAAGTTGGAAAAGTGCTCTTTCTTCACACAAGAAGTACATTACCTTGGCCATGTTATACGGCCAGGGACGCTCTCGATTGACGAGGTGTCGACCAGGGCTTTACGCGAAATCGCGATACCAACCACCCAGACTGAGCTCCGCTCGTTTTTGGGTTTGTGCAACGTCTATCGACGATTTGTGCCGAACTACGCCCATAAGGCGGCGCCGTTGAACCAGCTTCTCAAGAAGGGGCAACCTGCTAAGCTGGAACCCTTCGACGAAACCGAGATCAAGGCCTTTGATACGCTGAGAGAAGCGGTGATCTCCCCGCCAATTTTGGCGTTGCCCAAGGCTGGGTTCCCATATTCAATGGACACGGACGCCAGCGACTACCAAGTCGGCACGGCGCTCTTCCAATCACACGAAGATGGACAAAGGAAGCATATCGGGTTTTGGTCTCGATTACTACACGCTGCAGAGCGAAATTACTCCACTTCGGAGAAAGAATGTCTCGCTGTTGTGTGGGGTGTAGTGACGCTGCGGCCCTATCTCCAAGGAACCCGGTTCACGGTACATACCGAGCATTCTTCCCTCCGCTGGTTAATGGAGATCACGGACCCATCAGGCCGACTGATGAGGTGGCGACTCCGTCTTGGAGAGTTTGACTTCGACGTGAAGTACAAGAAGGGCAAGCTCAATACCCAAGCCGACGCGTTATCGCGACTGTTCACATCCGGGGAGACGACAGTCCCCGTAGATGAAGAAATCCCATGTTTTCTGGGAAGATTCTCCGAAATGGAGCCAGTCGATAAGTTTTCTGACGACTTCGAAGATCTCGAGTCGGCAAGGTTCGACGCGATATTGACCAGGGAACGCTACTCGACTGACGAGAATTTATTGGATCCTATCACAAGGGAAGAGATGCTACGTCATCAGCTGGCAGATGCATTCTGCGCCGGAATTAGAAGGCGAATCAATCGTGGGGATGACATCCCGTTCGCACTGAAGGGGGCGGGGTTCTCGTCAGGAACGTAAATGCGACACCACAAGTGGTGGCACCACAGGACTTCCAAGCGAGGATTCTTTACATGGGACATCATGCACTGCTTGCCGGTCACCCCCGTGGCAGGAAGATGTTCTACACTCTAACTAGAGATTGCTACTGGCCATCGCTGGCCGTAGATTGCTACGTAACTGCAAGAAATTGCATACATTGCGCTAAAGAGCGAGTCAAACTTCGGAGGAAGACTAAACGCCTCAAGCTGTTCCCAGCTACGGCGCCTCTCAAGTTGCTCTCGATCGATCTCCTTGGGGAGTTAATCCGTACCCCTCGCGGAATTCGGTGGCTCCTGGTGATCACGGATCGCTTCTCCAGGCTGGTCCGCACCGTGCCTCTCAAGAGGATTACTGCCGCGGAAATCGCGAAGGCTTTCGTCCACCATTGGGTGTTTGTCTACGGACCACCAGTCACGGTGCTGGCGGATAACGGAAAGCAATTCGTGTCCCGACTCTTCCAAGAGATTTGCCGCATCCTGGGCATCAAGAACGTCTTTACGACGACCTACCACCCCTAAACAAATGGGCAGTTGGAGCGCTTCAACAGGACAATACTGTCAGCGCTTCGACATTATGTCGCTGAACACCCAAAAGACTGGGACCTTTTCACTGATGCACTTACGTATGCGTACAATACGCAAACGCATAGTACAACCAAGCTCGCCCCATTCGAACTCGTTTTATTGCGACCACCGCGTGCCCTATCGTTGCAGGCAGAACCTCAGCTGGAGGAAGTTGGCCATGCCCAGTATCACGCCAAGTGGCGAGCCTGGCTTCGTGGACTTATGAGCACGGCTCAAGCCGAAATGAAGAAGTCTCAAGAACGCTATCGAGCGAACTACGATAAGCACATACGCCATCCAAAGGCGGAGTATCGCCCCGGGACACACGTGCTCGTCCGACGGGACTACGCGAATCCCCGTACAGAAGCTCGCCACAAGCTGGCGCCAGTGGCAAATGGACCATACCGCGTCGTTTCTGCGGATCAGGACACCGTGGTTATCCAGGATGGGGAAGCACAAGAACGCGTTACACGTGATCGGGTAGTACCTGCACCACTGCAGCCGAGTCAACCCGTAACGTCATCCACGACGAATATCCACGATCCAAATCGTGTTCACCGTCCCGGCAGACCGGGTATCCCGAGCTGTACAGTATCCACCTCTCCTATAGAGCAGTCTCAGGTTCCCCCAACAGGGTTGGCGGACTTGCCAGACACATCGCCTATGAATGGCGCAGCCCAAACCGGAATTTGGAACAGAGCTCGGATTAGACAGCCGCCGCCTTCGAGGCGCTCTGATGGGACGACCAAAAGCCGTCCCGAACACTCGAGGCATGGGGCTCGTCGCTACGCCCGATTGGCGAATGATACTCCGGTCAGACAGGAGAAAAACTCTACACCACCCGCTGACAGTCCACGTCACGAGCCGACTCCCGCCTCCAACGAAGGAGAAGGAGACGTACGCCGCCAATTGGCGCCCGACGCAGCCGCCCAGAACGTCCCTGCAGTGACGGAACAACGCGCAAGTAACGCGCAAGTAACCCGCGAGGAGCCGCGTCTAACACTACAACAAGAAAAGTGGACAGGGATCAGTCGCAATCTCCACACGCCATCGATGGCGAAGAATACGTGGTCGACCACGTCGTCGCGCATCGCTATGATGACGACGGTAAACTCGTCTTCCGAGTAAGATGGTACGGCTACACGCTGGAGGACGACCGTCCTCCGGCGTGTAGAACCAATTAGTCACCTCCGACGGAGCCATGTAATTTTATATTGCAAAAGAAAGGGATTGAATGTCCCAGACTCGATCATCCGAGCAAGACAAGGATAGATTCAAGACAAAAGTGGTTCATCTTTACCTTAAAAAGAATGACTACACGCCCTATGGCGCTACTGTACGCAAGCTACCGCTTCGAACTTACGCCAGATGGCGCTGCGAACTCCTCATGGAGCAAAAAAATAGCAAGGTGAACCCGGTCCGCCATCGCGTCACGCAAAAATTTGCGAACGACGGCTATTTCGTCGTCCATAATCTCACGAGCCGGAGGAGCCCGGTCAATAAGTATACCGGACCGTACGGTATCGCTCGCCACGCTGGCGTTACTCTTATTGAGTACAGGACCTCCTGCCGGAAAGGAGGTCTCCACGGACGCCACTTGGCGAAGTTCAAAATCCTTTTCGTCATCTTCGACGACCTCTTTTCGAGAGTCCTCCGGTTGGGGTCCACTAACGTCCGGGGAAAAGCATTACTCCTTTCCCCGGCGAGGACCGTCAGAAATAACACGCTTCTCATCAGCGAACTTCCTCGCCCTTTCTGGCGTCCATTCTTCCTGCTCCCCCGGACAGCCTGCGCTGCGGGCCCCTCGGATGGATAACCCGCTCGCAAATATTGCGTAATTGACGCGTCATCGCGATAGATCACGGGGTCGTGCCACGGCGCCTCCGTGAGGAGCTGGGCCTGCTCAAACGACTTTTGCCCGAAGAAATCGCCAACCTGGCGGAATACGCGATGACGCGCGAAAGCCAGGATGAACCCGGTTTGGAGGCCCTGCAGCTGAGACATAGCGCGAAGGACCGCGGTGCGATGCTGTGAGAGTGAGACGAACGCGGAAGAAAAAAATGACCGCAGAAGAAGAAACGCACACGGAGAAAAAAATCGCGAAAAGAAAAACACGCGCAAAAAAAGTCGCGAAGGAATCAGTCAGAAACGCCGCCTTTCGGCGCAAATACGGGCGTAGCCGCGAGAGTCGTTGGATTGGAGTGCCAAGACAGGCAGAGGAATGGAAGCACGCGCAGGGCTGCGAGTGCAGTCAAAGATGACGGCGTAATGAACCGCGTGTCTCAGGCGGATCGGCACGACCCCTGAAGGGGGGGTGATGTAGTGCAGTGACCCTGCGCCCTTTATCCGTGGTCACCGCCGTCGGGAGGCCGCCCTCCCCGCCTTTGACACGTGTACTGTGCGCGCACACTTGGGAAGGTACTCCACGTGTACCACACGTGGACACACGTGGACGAAAGTCGTATGACACGTATGTGATACGTGTACAACACGTGTATGACACGTATACATACGTGGTGCGCACAAGTTGCTACGCTAATTAGCGTCTAATGCCAAGTGGCAATTCTAATTAGAATTGCCACTTGGCATTAGATTAATGACGATAATTAATTATTAATTACCCATTTAGTAACCGACGCCGACGACGGCGCTCGGCCTATATAGGTCGGGTCTCGGAAGGCGCTACAGTAAAGAGGCATCAGGCACCAGGTGATCGGACCCCATCTCTGGTGGGATCCTCTACGGTTCCTATCTAGTTGGCTAAGTCTGGTACCTGCACCCTTCGTCGTCATCCTTTTTCTTGTTTTTCCTTTACTTTTTCCCCTATTTTCTACGTTTCTACGCTACACTTCTCCTTCCTTCTTTCTTCTGCCTTCTTGTGTTGTTCTTCTTCGACGCTGTCGATAGCGGTCCGCGACGCGACCGCCACACCCACTCCTTCTAGTTATCCCGAGTACCCCTTCACGCGCTGACCGCGACTCTACCCGCAATTCTCGCGTTACCTCTGAGCTACCACGGACAGAGGGCCCCGAACACCCTGGTGGTGACTGGACATACCGCTTTCCCTCATAGCGAGATTTACGCCCTCGTTGGCGAGTGTGTCCACTGCACTACAAGATGAACACCGTCTTGGAGGAGGCCTATCGTAAGGCAGAAAGAAGGACTAAACGTTCCATCCAGAACATTCCCTTACGTAAGCTATCTTGGGGCAAGGAACATGAGGAGGCTTTTAAGAGTCTTCAAGACACCATCCGCAAGGCTGTTGTTCTGTCTTTCCCCGATAAAGATAAAAGAATTTGTGTGTATACAGATGCATCCGATAGGTATTGGTCAGCGGTGATCACTCAAGTGAAACCCAACGACCTTTCAAAACCCCTCGATCAGCAGAAACATGAACCACTTGGATTCTTGGGTGCAGCGTTCAAAAAAAATCTGAAAAGAACTGGAGCACTTTCGAACAGGAAGGTTATGCCATTTACCAAGCGTTCAAGAAATTGGACTATCTTTTCTACAATGATCAGCCTAATAGGCTGATCGTTGTATAAAAGATAATTAAGATTTCGATGGTCCGTGAATACATGTAAAGTACCCATGTATTCAAGGACCATCGAAATCTTCTTTTCTTGTTCGCACCACTGGCCCTTGAACCAGCCTCAGGTAGGCACGTCGTGAACAAGGTTCAGAGGTGGGCTCTCTTCCTATCACATTTCAAGTACTTGATAGAGCATGTGGACGGGGAATCAAACGTATTTGCGGATATTCTTACTCGGTGGCTGAAAGGTTACCGTCAGGAAAGACGGACTATTAAGACCTTGTGCAAGCTAGCACGTATAGATGGAATAGTGCCTTCCCGACAGACAAAGAATTCGTCTGGCCTTCCTTCGAAATGTTTCGATCTACTCATCAGAAATGCCGACGACTAGTCAACAAAGTTAGGCTCAAATGGGATTCTGAGAAACGATTATGGAAAAAAGGAGAGTGTATCTGGGTCCCTGAAAAGGATCTAGATCTGCAAATGAAGGTAATAGTAACATCTCATTGCAGTCTAGGAGGTCACCGTGGCATTGAAGGTACAGTAAGTATCCTCATGGAACACTTCTATTGGCAATCTATGCGATCGGATGTCCAAGAGTTTGTATCTTCCTGTATCCCCTGCATAGTCACGCGAACGGGCGAGATTGTACCGCGCCCTCTTGGTTCTGCAATTCATGCTACCAAACCCAACGAGGTGTTACATGTAGAATATCTGTACATGGGGGCAGGAACGGACGGTCTGAAGTATTTACTACTTATAAGGGACGACTTATCTTCTTTCGTATGGATACGGGCCAGTACTGTAGCCAACGGAGAGTTTGCTGCATCTGTTCTGTCACAATGGGTTGCAAGCTTTGGCTCGATGAAATGGCTTGTCACCGACCAAGGAAGCCATGTCGTTAACGTACTACATGAGGCCATGATACGCATGTTCAGGGCCCGTCGGCATTTTACAACTACGTATCCCCATGGGCGAACGGAACTGTTGAGAGAATCAATAGAGAACTGCTCCGTTCGTGTAAGGCCCTATTGTCTGAGTGGCGGCTTGCATTGCAAGACTGTCCGTCTGTTGTTGACTGCATTCAGAGTATTGTGAACCAAGCGCCTTTGAAACGTTTGGGCTCACGTCTTCCTGGCGTGTTAAGAACACCAGTGGAGGTTTTCACTACAACTAAGCCTGTCCGACCACTACTAGCTGCACTCCCCATGTCTAAGTACCCGACCGCCTGCACTGATGACGAGAGTAGGGTTCAGCAGATCATTGAAATTGATCGTCTACAGTCGGCTCTGGATGAAATGCACAAAGATGTATCCACCCGAGTAGATGCCGCCCAAGCTCGACAAGTTCTGCGACATAATTCTAAGACTAATGTCTTACCCGCCAACTTTCGCGCCGGGGATATAGTATTGGTGCGAAGAGC